CCCCCCTCGCGCCCCCCGCACCCCCTTGAGGTTGGGGGGCTGCAACCCCCCGCAAAAGATAGATTTTTGAAAACTCGTTTGACGTGTTTCAGCGTTTTTCGAAATTTTAATTTTTCTAAAAGTTATTCAACCGTCCCGGTACTTTATGTACACCCTGTATAATGAAAGTGTTTTTATTTTTTCTCTACGTGCTTTACGAGCGGAGATTTGCGACGCAAAATACGAATGTGAAACTTTTATATTAAGAAACGTCATCATCATCGTCGTCCACGTCGTCGACCAGGAGAAAATGTCCATCTCATTTTTTCGACACTAGGGGGCTTTTGACTTAACCTAGCGATGGCAGCATTGCACATTCGAATTTGATCAACCACACATGACGGCTGTGATAATTAGCGATGGTAACATTGTCACATATACGATGTGACGTGCACGCGGCGCATTATTATTATAATTAATTGAAATTAAAATAAAATATAATTAAAAATATGAATTAAAATAAAATATTAATTATAATTAAAATGAAATATCGTATCGAGATTGTCGTTGAAGATCTAGGTATTTAGCGCGTCAAAGAAGAGGGTGTATAGATATTCAGGAATTAAGCGTCTAGGTGTTTGCCGTCGAGGAATTAAACGTCTAGATGTTTGTCGTCGAGGAAGTGGGTGTTTAGGTTGAAGAAATGGGTGTCTAGGTGTTCGCTATCGAGGAAGTGGGTGTCTAGGTGTTCGCCGTCGAGGAAATGGGTGTCTAGGTGTTTGCTGTTGAGAAAGTGGGTGTCTAGGTATTCGCCTTCGAGGAAGTGGGTGTCAAGGTGTTCGCCTTTAAGAAAGTGGGTGTCTAGGTGTTCGCCATCTCATTCTGACAGGTTTGACTCTAGATAGCAAGAGGTAAATGTGGCATTTAGTATTAACCGTTAAACTATTCAGGTTAGAATCTGTCACATCGATGGAACAGAGGAACACGTATGAACACGTCAGGCTAGAATAAATATTCTCTGCTGTAAAACACATTTTCCGGTGTAAGAATACATTTTCTATCCTGGTAGTTTATTTCAATTAATATTATCTTATAAAATTTGTAATAACTTTTATTGCAATATTCTTTCGTACAGGTTTAAGAAAGTGTCTGCAATGCGATAGAAAGCGTGTATATATATATTTTTATTAATAATTTGTTCTCTCTATTCTTTATAATTATGACAGAATTGATTCTTTGTGCTGTTTATTTTCAGATTTACTGAAAGGAAAGGCTTGAATTTAAAAGGTAATGATTTATTTTTATGGTAGTGTGTTTTCTCATTATTAAAGACATATAATATAAAAATGAGTAAAGGACTCTTATAATTCAAACATAAAACAATAAGTAAAAAACAATTAATTAGAAATATACAATATAAAAATGAGTAAAAGACTTATAATTCAAACATAAAACAATAAGTAAAGAATAATTAATGCCCATTTCCACCAACGTGAATTAACTTCAATCTCGGTTCAACTTATCTTTAGAATTAGAAAAAGACGAAGAGCAAGTTGAACCGACAAGTTAATCTACGTTGGTGGAAATGGACATAAGAATCTAAAACATCTAAATATTAGAAATATAATTATAAAAGCAAAAATTATCTTACATCTTTTTCGCGTTTAATCTATAGGAGCATGTTGAAGCAAGCGACGCGAACAAATGTCTTATCTTATCGTTGTGATATATATACAAATTTTTAAAAAATTTAAAAGAAAAAGGTAAAAAAAGCGCTAAGCGTTGGTGAAACTGGCCCAAATGGTGCTTCTCGTAAAGAATCACCATTTGGGCCAGTTGCACCAACGCCAATTACTTAATCGGCCGTAAAACTGATATACAAACTTACCTTTTAAAAAAAAAGGTAAAAAAAGCGCTAAGCGTTGGTGAATCTGATCCAAAGGGTACTTCTCGTAAAGATTCATCATTTGGGCCAGTTTCACCAACGCCAATTACTTAATCGGCCGTGAAACTGATGACTAATCACGTTTGCTGTTTAGTAGAACTAATGATATGTATCATTTGTATAAAAGATTTGATATCAACAACTGGCGCCAAGTTAAATTTTACCATTTTAATCCTCCCAAAGAAAAAATATAATAGTGACTTTAATTTTTTTCTTAATTTATTTAACTATAATGACATGTATTATTCGTATGAAAGATTTGATATCAACAAAATTGTCGCCAAGCTAAATTCATCAAAATTTTATCAAAATTTTAAGTATTATTTGTAAAAAAGATTTGATATCAACAATTGGCGCCAAGTTAAATTCCATGTAATTCGAATACCAAATTAAATAAATTATATTAACTTTAATGATATGTATCATTCCTATAAAAGATTTGATATCAAGAACTGGCGCCAAATTAAATCCCACTTTTTATACCATGCCAAATTAAATAAATAATAAATATTAATTTAATGGTATGTATTATTTGTACGAACGATTTGATATCAACAACTGGCGCCAAGTTAAATTTTACAAAATGAAAAGTAAAACTCAAGTGATACTATCTTTATTATTTACTTAATCCGAATGATACTATCTTTATTTTTTATGCAATGAAACCTAAGTAAACGTATACTTATTGAAGAATCTTCCTATTCCAATCCAAATGGTTTAAATTCCTCTTAAATGAAATTATTATATCACAATTCATTCAAAGACATTTCCTTTTCCAACTAAAGTAGTGGTTATTTAATTCTCCTTCAAAACATTATACAAAACATTATCACAAAATTGCGTTACCTTGCTCAATTTAAGTGTTACCACTTGAAATTAAAGAATTAACCATATAAAATAAAAAAATTTAATTTAAATAGAAAAATTTTTCATGTAAAAACACTTGGCGTTGCTAGATAGAGTAAGAAAAACTATAAGAACAATTAAAAAAAATGCAGCAGAATCCAAATAGAAATCCTGGAGTGGAGGAACTATTTAGAGTTAGTGACATATTAAAATATATACCTAATTCTGAAATTCCTAAAGTGATTTCATCTTCTTTATGGAGCAAATATAAATATGCTCCCGTTACGTCCTGTGATGTTGAAAGATCATTATTTACTTATAAACTAATTCTATCAGAAAAAAGGCATAATTTCACTCCGGCTAATCTTCAAAAAACTCTTGTTATTTATTGTCATTTAAATTACAATCAATAGTATTATGTTACATAATTTATGTGTATTGCTTCATGTTCGCGTGATTACTAATCATTAATTACGCATAGAATTTTGTAAATAAGGTGCATATTATCTGTATTTATTATGCATATTCCCTTATGGAAAAAGACACTGAAAATTTCGAAAAAACACTGAAAATTAGGTGTTAACGCTCAAAGTTGAGTGTTAACACCTAATTTTCAGTGTTTTTTTTAAACGTTCAGTGTCTTTTTCCATAAGGGTTGCGCATATATGCTGCATAAGTAATGCATATTGCGCATATATGATGCATAAATAATGCATATTGCGCATATATGCTGCATAAATAATGCATATTTTTTGTGCATATATTTTGCATATCTCTATATGCATCCATGAAACAATTTAAAATCGTTAGATTAGTACAGATTTTTCGTTATTATTACCTGAATCCAAAAAAATGTTTCTTCATAAAAATCTGCAGTCTAATTATTATATAATTATTATAATGGTGAGAGGCAAGGGGACTCACGGTAAACAAACACCCCAAACGTGAGAGGCAAGGGGACTCACGGTAAACAAGCACCCCAAACGTGAGTGGCAAGGGGACTCACGGTAAACAAGCACCAAAGGAAACAGAACTTACTACGTCTACGTCGTTGTTTCTGGATAATGCTAAAAGTAAGATAAACGCATTTAAACAAACTGCTTCTGAGCTCTTTTTAAACACTTGACCTTGATTTGTCCTTCTCAAGGTTACAATAAAAAATTTTTAAATATCATTTCTGACGTAAAATTTCCCGCTCTCTTCGAATCCGGTGTCAAAAGTAGGTGGTCCTATTTAAAAAAATCACTCTGACCTCCAAATGACCTTGGAAATTCATCTCAAAGTCAACTTCATTAAATTAGAAAGATGACCCCCATTGTCCTGAATAAGTTTTGTCTGAACTATTTTTCTGTATCTGCCTTATCGACGGAGAAATTTGGGTGGATCCCGTAAAATGGCCCACCATGTATATACATATATATAACAGTATATATAAACAAAAAGTTTAAATAAAATATAGAGTATATTCTAAATGAAGTATATGTTTGTCATTTCCGTTATTTATAAGACTCTGAAATCATAAAATAGAAAGAAATTTAACTTTTAATTTTTCAATTACTTTTTTTTATTCACTCAACT